TCTCTCTCTCTCTCTCTCTCTCTCTCTCTCTCTCTCTCTCTCTTTCTTTCTTTTTAACACAGGGTTTCTCTGTGTAGCCCTGACTGTCCTGAACTCACTCTGTAGACCAGGCTGGCCTCATCAAACGTAGAGGTAGGTATGTCTGCCTCTGCTTCCTCAGTGTTGAGATTAAAGGTGTGTACCACCGCCACTTGACTTAGGTTTTCTTTTCTTTGTGGTGCTGGAGAGGAAAACCTGGGCCTTGTTTACAACACAAGTGTTCTACCTCTGAACTCCATGTCCAGCCAAGGGGCTAGACTTGCTGTTTGGAGACCTTCTTCCAGCCCACACATTCCGTAGTTTAAGAGAGCATAATTATGCATAAGCATGACTCTTTTTTCTTTCATAAATGCAAACAAAAAGAGAAATTATTTTACCTAATAATGACTGTTAAGAGATTCTGGTGAGCTCTCCTGTCTTGGGCTGTAATCCCACTAGAGCAAGGGACCACACAGCAGTTTATCTGTCTGGGTTCCAGCCCACAGCACTGTGCTGTTGTGTGTGAGCCTCAATAAAGAGGGCACTTAAGGAACTGAGAACAACTTCAGTGCTTCCTGAGACTTCTCTTGACTCCTAGGACTTTCTTACTGGATGTGGTGGCACCGGCCTTTAATCCCAGCACAATGTGAGTTTAAGACTGGCCTGGTCTATACAAGTCCCAGGGCAGCCAGGGCTACAAACAGAGATCTTGTCACAAACAAACACGAAATACATATAAAGACTTACTACGTTAAAACTAAAAGTAGATTTAACATATGATTATGTATAACAAATGCTTTAGAAGTAGAAGTAGCATAATGTTGCTACTTGGTGCTCTGACACTAATAGGTGCTGATTTAATCTTCTCTGTCACAACAAGTGCATGAGCCACATCATAAAGAAGCCATCAAACAACATATAGATTAAGCTGGCAATTCTTCTGACCATCGTGATACTAGCTTTTTAATTTTCAATGACCAAAAAAGAAGGAGAAAGGGAGGGAGAAAAAAGGTTCATTTTCCCCACTTTACTACAATCTAATCCTTCTGAGGCCCAGTCACTGTCTCTGGAGATGACAGAGGTGAAGACTCTGAAGGACACTTCCCCACAGCCCCACTTACTCTGTATACTGCTGCCATCCAGGATATTTGTGGCTGACAGATCCAGAGAACTGGGCCTCTGTGCTCTTCTGGGCTTCGAGGGCCCAGGATCTGCAACTGTGCTTGTAACACCCTGTGCAACTCCATCTTGTTCGGAGCACGGATTGCTGTTGTTGTTATTGGAATTAGTTCGGCTCCCTTCAAGGGGCCGTTCCCGCCTGTCTACCAAACGGTCCAGAACCCCTTCATCATGGCCAGCTTGCTGCTCTCGTCTCAGTAAAGGTTCATGCTCATCAGGACTGGAATTAATATTCAGCCGGGTATCCTCGCCAATAAACTGATTCTGCAGCATTTCTTGAGCCCTCTGTGCCACTATGTTGGCTGCCTGGCCAGATGGCACCGTCCCATTGGCATACTGGGTTGTGGCGACATGGGAATTAACATTGTGGCTTCTACCTGCCACCCCATTCATAGTCACCGTCACTACATGGGGTTCTGCGGCATTGATTGTATTCATCTTGGCAACTCCAGTTTCTACCTGTTTCAAGTTTGATTTGTGCTTGTTGCCAAATTTTAGCCGGGGTTCTTTTGTTGAATTTTTGGTGTTCAAAGGCAAACTAGTGGGTCTCTTAGGCAGGTTCTGTTGCTTAGGGAGAGGATAGATCTGAGCAGGTGGAACATCAGGGATTAAGCATGCCTGGCCATTTGTAGCCTGTGTGAAGTCCTGCTGTCCAGTTACTTCCACTGCAAGCTTGATGAGTGGATAGAGCAGGCTGGAACTGGTACTGCTCAAGGGGTCTGGCCCGCTGAACTGCTTGAGCGAGTGCTCCATGAGGTTCTCGTCAGAGCTCTCCTTGAGGTTCTTATCAACTTCCTTTGGGTCTAGCTTGTTGGTCTCCAGGTCTTCTTCCGTCAGCTGCAAGCAGACAGGGGTTGGCCCAATTGACTGTGCGACATTCGTGGCATGCAGATTGGCTTCATCTGGGTACGGCATCTCAGAGATGGTGGTCATGCCCGTACTCGGAGTGAGGCCTGTGGTGTTTGTGGTGGTGGTGTTTGTGGACAGGCTGGTGACGCTCGTTTCAGGGCTGGGGATCCGAGCTTGTGCTTGCTGCCGTTCGTAATTAATTGAGTTTCGGTTCTTTTCTCCTACAGTCAAAGGCGTGCTGCTGGACATCGAATGCTCCGAGGAAATATTCTTCACAATGCTATCAGTGTGATGTATGGAGTCTTCAATATATGAGGAAGAAGAATAATCTGGATAAGGCCCAATTTTTGGCACACGCCTATTATGTGACAGGTTGCTTGAAGAAAGAAAAGAGAAGGAGTGAGCACAGGATATAAACTTAGGACAGCTGCCTAGTCCACAGGGTTCAAAGTCCAGCTGCTTTTCACTGTATGCTCTGCATTCTGTTACTGCGCGTGTTTATTTAGTATGTCTGGGTACATGTGGAGAGCAGAGGTCAACGTGTGGGAGTCACTTCTCTTCCAGCATGTGGGTCTCAGGAATCAAACCAGGCTGCCAGTCTTGGCAGCGAGCACTTCACCCACCAAGCCAACTCACCGGCCTATTTAACTCTTAAATGATAATTAAGAGATTACTTCAAAATCCTAGTAAGTGTTAGCGGCTTGCTGAATACAAATTTCATTTTGGCTTACAAGAGTTAATTTAGGGGGGCTGGAGAGGTGGCTCAGAGGTTAAGAGCACTGCCTGCTCTTCCAAAGGTCCTGAGTTCATTTCCCAGCAACCACATGGTGGCTCACAACCATCTGAATGGGGTCTGGTGCCCTCTTCTGGCCTGCAGGCATACACACGGACAGAATATTGTATACAAAATAAATAAATAAATATTTTTTAAAAAAGTTAATTTAGTGGCTGGTGGGATGACTCAGTGGTTAAGAGGCTCAGCCGCTCTTTGATTCCCAGCTCCTACATGACAGACAGCTCACAAGTACCTGTAATTCGAGTCCCTGGAAAGCCAGCGACACCTTCTGGCCTTAGCAGCACTGCAGGAACATGGGGCACACACATTCAGGCAATCATATATACAAAAAATAAAGTCTCAAGCCGGGCAGTGTGGCACACACCTTTAACCCCAGCACTTGAGAGGCAGAGGCAGGCGGATCTCTGTGAGTTCGAGGGCAACCTGGTCTACAGAGTGAGTTCCAGGACAGTCAGAGCTTCACAGAGAAACCCTGTGTTGAGAAAACCAACGAACAAACAGAAACACCTCAAAAATACATAAAAGAGTTAATTCTGTCTGCAGGTAACATTTTACTAAAAATTCCTAAAGATTCTACAGAAAGTTGTTAAGCTAATAATCAAAATCTACAAAACTGGAAGTAGCAAAATGAACATGAATTGTAGTTCTGTAAGCATTGACCATGAACAACCACAGTTCCCGGTAAGCTAGCATTGACCATGAACAACCACAGTTCCCGGTAAGCTAGCATTGACCATGAACAACCACAGTTCCCGGCAAGCTAGCATTGACCATGAACATCACAGTTCCCGTTCTGTCACAGGTGTAGAGACAGAAGGCGCGTGGCGCTTATGGGGTGGGGGTTGGAGGGTTGGAGGGAATGGAACAGCTCCACTGGAAATGGACAATGGTGATGGTCACGCAACAATGTGAACACACTTCACGTGTCCCTATTTCACAGTGGATAATATAATGCAGAAAATGTTACATTTCAACCACACCTTAAAAACAAACAAACAAACAAAAAGTTACTTGGAAAAAGAGAAAAAAAAAGTTAATTCTAAAATATCACCTATAATTTTATAATAACAAATACATCTTTTATGAATTATATACCTATACAAGCAACATTGTTTTGTAAATAGAGGAACCATGGGATACATTTATTTTATTCCTGTAACCCTAGGTCCAATAGTATATGCACAACAAATATAAACTAGGTTCAAATAACCAAGTGATAAAAAGAACACAGAATTTGCTCATTCTTCCAAAACATCCTCATTTAAGAGGCACATGCTAACAATGGAAAATACCTTTCTGCAGGAGTCACTATTGGTGTAAGTTTCTGTAGAGCTAAGCTATGAGGCAGAAGACGGCACTCGGATAAAGGAACAAAGCCGAACGGCCAATAGCTAGGTACGAGAAAGGACAGGTGGGGCTGGCATGGAGCGAGAATAAATAGGAGAAATTCAGGGAAGAGATTGAGGGTTGAGAAAAGAAGAGAAGGATGCCAGGGGTCTGCCACCAAGCCAGCCATGGAATAAGAAGGAAAGAAAAATGTATAGAATAAAGAAAAGTAAAAAAAAAAAAAAACCCCAGGGGAAAAACAAAGACAAACGGGATAGCTTAAGTTAGAAAGGCTGACTAGAAACAAGTAGAAACAAGCCAAGCTAAGGCCGGACATTCACAAGTAAGAATAAGTCTCTGTGGTTTATCTGGGAGCTGGGTGGTGGCCCCCACAGAGGAGAACCCACTGGCACCATCGCTCCCAGAAGAGACAGCTCTGGACTGTCCTGGCACACTTAAAAGAGGGTCTGTAAAGGAGACTAGCATCTTATGCAGGAATGGCAGCAATCACGAAAAAGGAAGCTAAGGAGATACGGAGAAGTTAAGGCACAGTAAGATGAAACCCACAGTGCAAACAACCCTTATGTGAACTCTCATTTAGGAGAAACTTGGGAGAGATAGAGGTACAAAGAGCCATTCCAAGTAGAGGTGAATAACAAAAGGGGGAGGAAAACCAAAGTAGAGGCTAGGAGTTTTTTTTTAATCATTCAAGAAAAATTCAAAAGTATTTAAAGTAGAAACTTCAGCTGACTTTTTTTTTAAGACTTTATGTGTATAAGTATTCACCTGTAGTGACTGCAGAGGTCAGTAAAAGGAGCTGGACTCCCTGGAACTGGAGTTACAGATGGTTAGGAACCACAATGTGGATGGGAGCTGGGAACTGGAGTTACAGATGGTTAGGAACCACAACGTGGATGGGAGCTGGGAACTGGAGTTACAGACGGTTAGGAACCACAATGTGGATGGGAGCTGGGAACTGTTGGGGAATATTATTTTAGGGTGTGTGACTTTTGTTTATGCTGCATTTGTTTAACTCTGTGAAACTGTGGTTCTTTGCCTGTCTAAAACACCTGATGGTCTAATAAAGAGCGGAATGGCCAAAAGCGAGGCAGGAGAAAGGATAGGAGAGGCTGGCAGTGAGAGTATAAATAGAAGAACTCTGGAAAAAGAGGAGGAGGAGGGTGTCAGGGGACAGCCACCCAGCCACAGCGTAAGAAGGGAAGTAAGATATTCAGAAGTAAGAAAGATAAAAGCCCAGAGGGAAAAGGTAGATGGGATAATTTAAGATAAAAAAGAGCAGGCAAGAAACAAGCCAAGCTAAGGCTGGGCATTCCTAACTAAGAAGAAGCCTTCGCGTGTGATTTATTTGGGAGCTGGGTTGTAGGCCCCACAAGAAGCCAAAAGAGTAAAAACAACCAACAACAGGGAACGGAGTCAGGGTGTGCTGAGAGAGTGGCAAGGGCTCTAACTGAACCATCTCTGTAGTCCCTTCAATTGACCATTGACAGATGTACAACCTGCATATTTTACAGATTATAGGGAAGCAGAAATACAGAAGAAGATGGAAGAAGGCTTCTCTAACGTGTAAAGTGAGCACTTCTATTAGAACAGGTAGTCTCTTTCTACTCTCCTTGATTTGTGATATGCCAGTGTCAAATTAATAGGGATGTTTCGGCTGTTCAATTTTCGAAACAGTTTTAATCTGCAGTTCAGACTGGTCTGGAGCTCAACACATAGTCTAAGTAGGCCTTGAACTTTTGGCAAACCTCCTGTCTCAACCTCCAAGTTTTGAGATGGCAGGCATGAACTACCACGCCTGGCTTCATGTTTTTAAAAAATAGTTTATTTGATTTTATGAGTATTGGTGTGAGGATGTCGGACTCCCTGGAAACGAGTTACAGATAGTTGTGAGCTGCCATGTGGGTGCTGGGAATGGAACCTGCGCCCTCCGCAAGAACAGCCAGTGCTCAGCCCCCAAGCTGTCTCTCCAGTCCTAAAAAGCCTTTTTATTTAGGATCTAAAGGTACAGTGCCAGCAAAGGAAATGTTTCATAGGACAGCATTCACAGTGGAGCCGAGAGAAGTGTCCGTGTGTTCTGTAAGGACTACTGGTGAGGCAGTGCACGAGTCTTGTGTCCACTACAACAGTAGCAGATACACGGGCAGAGTCACGTGTGCTTAAGAAACAAAACACTAATAAACACAAGACAGACAAAGTACACGTACAAGTTATAAACTTTTACAACTATAAAAATGTTTTATCTTTAACATTAAAGTTAAGTTACACTAATTCCCCCCTCCCCTTTAGGTTTCTTGAAACACGTTTTCTCTGTGCAGCTCTGGCAATCCTGGACCTTGCTCTGTAGACCAGGCTGGTTAATAAAGAGTCATTGCTTTTACTGGATCTTTAGATATGAAATTACAGATTCTGTCTTGTATTCACACCACATAAATATTTTCAGTATAAGAATGAAAACAGGCTAGAGAGAAGGCTCGGTACTCAAGAGCAGGTGCTCTTCCTGTAGAGAATCTGAATTCACTTTACTGCTCCATAGCTCACAACTGACTAAAATCCTAGCTCCAGAGGGATCTCACGCCTCTGGCTCCAGACACCCAAACTTGTGCACATCGCTGCTTCCACCTCCACACACACACAATTAAAAATAACAAAAATAAATCTTCTTAAAAAAAGAAAAGACTGAGGATATTGGGGGGCTGCAGAGATGGCTCAGAGGTTAAGAGGCTGCTCTTCAAGAGGTCCTGAGTTCAATTCCCAGCACCCACAACTCACAGCCATCTGTGAAATCTGATGCCCTCTTCTGGCCTGCAGGCAGAACACTGCATACATAATAAATTAAAAAAAAATCTTACAAAGAAAACAATTTAAAGCTGGGCGGTGGTGGCGCATGCCTTTAATCCCAGCACTTGGGAGGCAGAGGCAGGTGCATCTCTGTGAGTTCGAGGCCAACTTGGTCTACAAGAGCTAGTTCTAAGACAGGCTCCAAAGTTACAGAGAAACCTTGTCTCAAAAAACCAAAACCAATTTTAAAAAGACTGGGGATATTGAAAGAAAAATGCTACACAAGCTATCACATTACTAGGCTGACTTATCAGTGTTTATTTCCTGTTCTTCACATGGTCTTCGTTGCCAACAGTTAAGTGACAGCCATGAGCCCCCAGGGTCTTACCGTTCATTCTGCATGGCAGTAGACATGGGGTTGACCGTTGGGCTCACAGACTTGTTTCTCTCCCATATCATCATAAGTTCAGCCATTCTCTCCTCAGCACACTGCGCCGTGAGCCGAGCCTCTGCGTCCTGGTCCCAGCAGTCTTCAATCGTTTCCTTGAGTGATCTCACTGCCTACAGCACAACAGACATCAGAGAGCATAATGTGACAACTGTGCTCAGGGTTTTAATTTAAAATATGTCAAAGAAAATCAGGTTGTACATATACGTATGGTTTTGGGTCTTTTTTGTGGTTGTTTCCTTTTAGATTTATTTTTATTCTGCATACCATATCTATCTGGGTTTTTCAAGACAGGGTTTCTCTGTGGCTATGGAGCCTGTCCTGGAACTAGCTTTTGTAGACCAGGTTGGCCTCGAACTCACAGAGATCCGCCTGCCTCTGCCTTTCAAGTGTTAGGATTAAAAAGCATGTCACTATGCCCAGCTATTGGTTTTATTATTTGTTATAATATTTATTTATTTATTTATTTAGGTTTCAGGGACTTAATTAAGCTACAGCCCCAAATGTCCAATTTCAAACAAACAAACAAAAAAAAAGACAAAGGAAACCAAGTATTGTACTTGAAATTTTAGCACTTGGGAAGGAGAGGCAGAAGGTCAGGACCTCAAAGATATTCTTGATCCTAGAATGAATTCTTTGAGACAAGACTGGGATACATGAGATCCTGCCTAAAAACAAAAAAGCAAAAGGAATGCAAAGAAACAAGAATATGTTATCTATTTACAGGAAAATAAAATCTTAGCAGAAATTGAGAAAGCACAAGCATTAGAGGTGTCAAAAAATTTTAAGTGAACCAAAGAACTAAGAAAACAACAGATGAAGAACTGAATTAAGAAAACATCTCCCCCTCTCCCCCCAGACAGGGTTTCTCTCTGTAGCCCACTCAGCCTGTTCTGGAACTCACTTTGTAGACCAGGCTGGCCTTGAACTCAAAGAGACCCGCCTACCTCTGCCTCCTGAGTGCTGGTAATAAAGATATGTCACCATGCCTGGTCTAAGAAAACAATTCCTTAAAAATAATTTTATTTATTTATCTATGTATGTATCTACCTATCATCAATCTATCATCCATCAGAGGAATCTATCAAATCAGGGGAAGTCACTGTTGTAGACATGCTCTGTAAGTTAAGTTAAAAGGGTTCTCCAACTTGAAATTTAAAAAGTAATTCCAGGTAAATATAAGAGTCAATAACCTTTGTTTGTTTTGCTTTGTTTGGTTTGGTTTATTTGAAGACCAAGCTGGCCTCCAACTCACAGAGATCCGCCTGCTCCTCCCCGACCCCAGCGCTGGAATTAAAAGAATGTTCCACTATGCCCACCTTAATTGCATTTTTTTAAAAATAGCTCTTCCTTTTTTAAAGAATTAATAAGCCTTTGGTCACTTTAATAAGCTACACACTTCCTCCCTGACTCTTTTTTTTTTTTAAAGATTTATTTATTTCTTTATTATGTATACAACATTCTGCCTCCATGTATGGCCGCACGCCAGAAGAGGGCACCAGATCTCATTACAGATGGTTGTGAGCCACCATGTGGTTGCTGGGAATTGAACTCAGGACCTCTGGAAGAGCAGCCAGTGCTCTTAACCACTGAGCCATCTCTCCAGCCCCCCTCCCTGACTCTTGAACTGCATTGCTACTGCAGAGAAACTTTCTTCTTTTGGCTATACCATCCATATCAAGTTTAAATGGATTTGTTGGACGTAAACCAAATATTAAAAGTCCCTCACTTAGCAACCTCATCTAAATTAGAAGTTAAGAGTTTTCAGATAAATCTGTATATGCTGCATTTCCCACAATGGTAGGGTTGCCAACAAATACTTCAAAAGAATAGATCTCAGGTATTGCAGTGAAATGAAACAACTTAAGGAGGATGAAAAGATGAAGTTGCAGTTGATTGTATAACAAACTCTCGGAGATTTCACAGACGGCAGCGCTGGGGAATCCTGGCAGAGTACACTTCACCCCCTCACCTGCCTAAGGAACTGCCCAGGTCTGCATAGCAAAAACTGCCATTTGGAGGCAACCGTGTATATGAATTTAACAAGCTCTTTAATAGCCATATACTTAAAGATTTCAATCTCATCTCAAACATAAGATAGATTTGAGGTTAATCTCTTAACAAAGATGACCACTAAGATAAAGCTCAATCTATCTGAATGGATGCACAGGGACTCTCTAGTCTATCTCTCTGACACGAATGAAAATATTCTATTCTGCTGAGGCAATCTGTAAGTAGGACGGGAAAATATAAGTAAAATGATTTAAATTATTAAATTTCTTCATGTTCTTTAATTAGAGCTAAGAAAATTAATTTGTACTAAGTATTAAAATGTAATAAATACCTTCAGAAGTAATCATCATTACATTACCACCCTAAAAAGAGATCACTGAGGAAATACGAAGCAATACAATCTTCTGGAGATAAAAAATAGGATTGTAGAAATTGAAATAAAAATTTTAATTTTTGGGCTGGAGAGACGGCTCAGTGGTTAAGAGCATTGCCTGCTCTTCCAAAGGTCCTGAGTTCAATTCCCAGCAACCACATGGTGGCTCACAACCATCTGTAATGAGGTCTGGTGCTCTCTTCTGGCCTACAGACATACACACAGACAGAATATTGTATACATAATAAATAAATAAATTTAAAAAAAAAATTTTAATTTTTATTGAGGATGTGTAGTAGAGGTCAGAGAACAACTGTGTAAATCAGTTCTCCCCTTCCACTTTGTGAGTTCCAGGAGTTGAAATACATCATCAAATATGGTGGCAAGGGCCTTGACCTGATGGGCCATCCTGCCATCCCAGGAAATTAAAAATATAATGAACAAATAATTGATACAACAGTGTTAGTAAAGAAATTAATGGACTACTCAAAAGGTAAAGTTGAGCAAATGCTGAACAATTAGAACACTGAGAACCAAACGGAAGCTGAGACGCAGCGCAGTTGGTAGAGGGCTGGCACACATGAAACCCACATAAACCAGCACAGCACGGTGGCACACAGGCACTTCAGAGGCGAAGGCAGGAGTTCAATATCCCCAGCTATGCAGTTAGTGTGATCTCACATAGCCCTGTTTCCCAAACAAACAAATAAAAAACAACAACAGAAGGGGGAAAAAAAAAGAAATTCAGACCTGGAATGTCAGGTGGTTCAATACTAGTTTAATGAAAATTCCAAGAATAAAGAAATGTAAGGAAAGAAGTAATTTTCTTTTCTTTTTTGGTTTTCTGAGACAGGGTTTCTCTGTAGCTTTGGAGTCTGCCCTGGAACTAGCTCTTGTAGACCAGGCTGGCTTCCAACTCACAGAGATCCACCTGCCTCTGGCTCCTGAGTGCTGGGATTAAAGGCGGTGCCACCACTGCCCAGTCCAATGGAATGTTTTCTAAGTTGCCTTGATCATGGTGTCTATGCACATCATAGAACTACTACTAAGACGGTCAACACGGGAGAGGCGGAGGAGGAGGCGTTCAAGTCATTTTCAGCTGTGTAGGGAGTTTAAGGGCAATCTGGGCTTAATGAGATCCTATCTTGAAAGAGAGAGACAGACAGAAAGAAAAAGAGAAAGAAAGAAGGAGAGAAAGACAGAAAGAAAGCTGATAAAACAAAAAGCAACGGACGGTCTGTGTGAGATGGGTGGGAGGGTCAAGGACTATTCAAGGTAGTCTGACAACCTGAGTTCTGAGTTCAACCCTGGGAACCCAGTTAAGTAGGGTTCAGTGTCCTGAATGCATGAACCCAGCACATGTCCTGTGGCCTAGAAGGCTAGGTACACTGGAGAAGAGTGTGGGAGAATACAGAGGGACCCTGTCGTGTGACTTCCACAAGTGCACCACAGCCCCGACAATGGAGTAAGACTGGCCCACACCCAAATTCTCATTATGAAGACTGGAGGACAGAGTACATCTTCGCAACTTTGAAACCATTACTCTGGTGATTTATTACTCATGTGTGATACTAAGATGGAAAGTTTTTAAACATGCAAGGATTTGTAATGTTTAACACCAAACATATAGTAATATGTATTACTTAAACAGAATTTCATCAAAAGAAGAAAATTATCTAAAGAGAAAGACAAAGACTTGAAAAAAATGTTTCTTTTGAGGAGAACCTAGAGAGAACAGAAAAGACAAGGAACCAGGGAATCTACTGGACGGTGTTTTTAAAATAAGCTTTTCCAAAAGCAAGACCGTAAAGCAATGAAATAGTATGCGTGGTTTCTACGAGTCCAAGCTCAGTATTTTGTTGTATAGGAAATGTTTAAATAAACACAATTCTGATGTTTTTGCTTTATTTAACTTTTTAGATCTACCTCTACACCACCATCGCCAATCTGACTTTGACAGTGTTTTACACTGAAGCCCAGGCTGGTCCTGAATGTGTGATTCTGTTGCCTCACCCAGTGGTGGGGTACAGGCATGAATCACCACAGCTAGGCGGCTTCTATTTTTTGCTTCAAGAACATTTAAACTTATCTAGTTCTAGTCAGAAGTCCTCATTTTCTTACCAGGCTGTTTTCTTTCCAGGCTTCTGGGAATTTGGGTCTCTGTTTTTCTCTCGACACAAGAACCTGCATGTCCTCAAAAGTGGGATGGTTGCCAACTTCTGTCTGGAAAGCCATCTGGTATTCTGGTGCAGACTCACCTGTGTATTTATGGAAAGAATGATAATTCTAATTATCATAGAGGATAAAATAACAGAGGTATTTCTAGTATCAAATAAACACAGAAATCATATGCATTAAAGCCTTTCAAGCATACATGCAAATTTCAGATACTTTATTGTTGTTTTAGTCTATTGTTAATATTTAGAATAGTCTCAATTTTTATTGATAAATGAAATAGTTTCAATGCTACACAGATATTTTACTTATCTTATTCTTTGGTGTTGGGGATCAAACTCTAAGCCTTAAATATGGTAAGTATGTACTTGAATATTGAGCCCTGTTTTTAAAACAGTCAAGTATTCTAACAACTCGGGCTCTGCTGCATAAAAAAATAATTAATTTTTGTAAATTTTAAAAATACTGAGAGAGGGTAAGAATGTATGGATTGTTTTGACTATTCAAATAGAAACAAGATCTTGGCATGTTCTGTGGAGTTTTTTCATCTGGGTCATTATAACTCTTTGTTCTTGTGCCCGTGAGATAAGGAAGGCAGACATTACTGTTTTGCTGACAGGAAGATTGAAGCACACAAGAGTTAAGTGACTTTTCCAAGGAAGAGACGAAGCCGAGATTAGAACCGAAATGCCCTAACCTCCATCCTTTCTCATCTATCTTGTTATTTTAATACATAGAGCAGGGGTGAGGAGCCAGGAAGACTGTGGGTCTCCTATAGGCCAGTGGTTCTCAACATGTAGGCTGTGACTCCTTTGGCAAGCCTCTATTTCAAAAAATATATGACGATTCATAACAGTAGTAAAATTGTAGTTATGAAGTAGCAACAAAACTGACTTTATGGTTGGGGTGTCAAACATGACGAACTGTACTAAAGGGTGGCAGAGATCAGAATTTGAGAATCCTACTGTAGGCCACTAGATTTTTATGTATTAGTTGTAAGGGGTTTTCTGTATAGTTCAGTATGTTTATTTATTTATTCGTTTATTGGTTTTTATCAAGGCTGGGTTTCTCTGTGTAGCCTTGGCTGTCCTGGAACTCACTCTGTGGACCAGGCTGTGCCTCTGCCTCCTGAGGGCTAGGATTAAAGGCCTGTGCCACCACTGTCCAGCTTCAGTCTGTTTAAAAACGCACTTAACTTTATCACATTTTGTAAAAGTCAGAATTATTTCGTCGTAAGCTGCAAACGGTACCTATTGATGGCACACACAGTTATCAAATACTGGTAGAATAGTTAATGATGATTTAAAATTCTAGATTTAAATACTACTTGTTAAGAGGAAAACTTAAACAATGACACGGTCATTGTCATAATTTTTTATAGGACCAACTATAGTATGGCTCAGGGGTAGAGCAGCACCTAGCACGCAGGTGTCCGGGTCTAGTCCCCAGCCCTGAAGAGACAGACCTGATGCCATGGTGTATGCCTGTAATCTAGTCCCTCAGGAGGGGCAGCAGTAGGATCTAGGTCAGAGCCATCCTTGACTGCATAGGAATGTGAGGCCAGCCTGGAACAGAGAAAACCCTGTTTCTAAAGCAAAACAAAACTGAAAAATTGTGATATTTGAAACATTCTGGCTGAACTAGAATAGAGCCACTGACTTCATAAGGCATGGTGTATTGTTAGTATTTAGAATAGTTTCAAATTTTGTTGATAAATGCAATAGGGGTTTCAATGCTATACAGGTATTCTACTTAACTTATTCTTTACTGTTGGGGATTGACCTCAAGGCCTTAAACATTCTAAGTACATTCTTCAACACTGAGCCCTGTATACCTTTTTAAAGTATACCATGGAGTTGTATCTCAGACTAGATAGGTATTTTAAATTGGTTTTGACTGGTATTAAATTTAGGAGTGAAATATTATAAGGAATACTTAATACTTGAAATTATGCCTGAACTCTGATCTCATGTTAGAAAATAAAGAAAAATGCCAGGATTTAGTACATCAAGCAACCAAATTTAAGAGGAGAGACTGAAACATCACTCACCAAAGAAAATCTATTTTTTTTAAATTTTTAAATATTTATTTATTTATTTATTATGTATACAGCATTTCTTCCATGTATGCCTGCAGGCCAGAAGAGGGCACCAGACCTCATTTACAGATGGTTGTGAGCCACCATGTGGTTGCTGAGAATTGAACTCAGAACCTTTGGAAGAGCAGGTAATGCTCTTACCCTCTGAGCCATCTCTCCAGCCCATCAAAGAAAATCTAAATCTAGTTTTTCAATGAACACTTATTTGGAGCTAACTTTACTAATACTCTGAGGACACGAAGATGTTAAATGCCTGTGATGATGGGAGATACTGGCCTTAACAGATTTTCTTAAAATTTTACAGTCACTGGATTGCTCAAGGGAAGTCCTATAATCTTAATTTCTTTCAAAAACCTGAAAGGTACCTGAAAGCTAATCTCATTTTTCTGTCTGTCTGTCTGTCTGTCTGTCTGTCTGTCTGTCTGTCTCTGTGAATCGATCGATCAATCTATCAATCTATCTATCTATCTATCTATCTATCTATCTATCTATCTATCTATCTATCTATCTATCTATCTATCTATCTATCTATCTATATATATATTATGTCTGTGTGTATGCCTGCAGGCCAGAAGAGGGCACCAGATCTCATTACAGGTGATTGTGAGCCACTATGTGGTTGCTGGGAATTGAACTCAGGACCTCTGGAAGAGCAGGCAATGCTCTTAACATCTGAGCCATCTCTCCAGCCCATGAAGACTAATTTCTAAGGCTGTCCTCTGACCTCCACATGCCATGAAGACAAAGCACTTGTACCCATGCCTCTGTAGCCAAACATACATTAAAAATAATAAGTTCTTTGGGCTAGAGAGATGGTTCAGTGATTACAAGCAGTTGATGCTCTTGCAGAGGACCTGTGTTTGGTTCCCAGTATTTATGTAGTAGCTCAAAAACATCTGTAACTTCAGGGTATCTAATGGCCTCTTTTGAACTCAACTGGCATCAGGCATTCACATGGTACATATTCACATGTGGAAAAAAATATCCATACACATAAAATTTAAAAATCATTGTGATGGTTTGAATAAAAATAGCCCCCATAGGATCATATATATTTGAATGTTTAGTCACCAGGAAGTGGAACTCTTTGAAAGGAACAGAAGAATTGGGAGGTATAGCCTTGTTGGAGTAAATGTGGTCTTGTTAAAGGAAGTGTGACTATCACTGAGGCCATTGAGGTTTTAAAAGACCATGCCCGATTCTGGTATGGATCAAGATATAGCTCTAACTACTTCTTCAGCACCACGCCTGCAATGCCTGCCATGCTCTCTGCCATGAGGATAATGGACTAAGCCTCTGAAACTATAATCAAGCTCCTAATTAAATGCTTTCTTTTATTAAAAAAACTGCCTTAGTTATAGTGTCTCTTCACAGCAATAGAAAAGTGACCAAGACAATCATAAAAGTAAAAAATAAAATAATAAATGCTTCAGTTATCTATCAATATTCCTTTCTAAACTTCTCCATAATTAGATCATCCTTCTGACTTAAATATTTCTGTTAAGTTCCTGGCTGCTGTTCTATTTTTCAGACCTCGAGATACTTCCCTAGAACCAGATTCTTTCTTTGAATTTACTTTTGTTTGGTTTTGTTTTGTTTTGTTTGAGACAGGGTTTCTCTGTGTAGCCCTGGCTGTCCTAGAACTCACTGGCTTTGAATTCAAGAAATACACTTTCTTCTGCTCCCTGAGTGCTGGGATTAAAGGAGCGCACCATCACTGCCTGGTTGAGTTGACTTTTTAAAAATATTTTTTGCTTGCTTGTTTTTCGAGACGGGGTTTCACTGTTTAACAGCCTTGGTTGTCCTAGAACTCGGATCTGTAGACCAGGATAGTCTACAAACTCACAGAGATCTGCCTGCCTCTACCTCCCAAGTGCTGGGATCAAAAGCATGTGACCTGCCTTGAATTTATTCTTAATGTGCTCTTTCTATCTACTTCAAAGGCAGGACTGTGATAGGTACTGCGATATTTAATTAATCTTTTTTTTTTTAATTTGGTTTTTCGAGACAGGGTTTCTCTGTGTAACAGCCCTAGCTGCCCTGGAACTAGTTCTTTAGACCAGGCTGGCCTCAAATTCAGAGATCCACCTACCTCTGCCTCCCGAGTGCTGGGATTAAAGGCTGTGCCACTACACCTGACAGTGATGGGTCTCACTATGGTATTTCCATATATACTTACCTCTCTTCCCTCTTCCCTGTCCTCCCCCTGGTCACCTGTTTAAATGTCACATGTACTGTAGTATTCCTCTCTCCTTTTCTCTGCCTCCCCCTCTCTCCTCTTATGATCCCTTTTCTCGTTTCAGAACCTAAGGCCACATCTGCCCCCGTAAATAAAAATTAGTATTTAGAATATGCATATGATAGAAAGCACAAGCTTTGTTCAAGGTGGCTTATTCACAGAACAAATCCTTTCTAGATTCATGCATTTTTTAAATTAGCGTCATGATTTAATTTCTTTTCATGGCTGAATAAATTTCCATTACTTTCTTTTATCCATCATCTAGTTCCAGTTCTGAGCTAACATGATTACTGCAGTAATGACCAGAAATGGGTAAATAGCTCAGTCACAAGAGCTAAAAATATACTCCAAAGTGGTATTGCTGTGTTGTGGAATTATCATCTTGTACACTGTAAAGATGTGGCACTCTTGATTGGTTTAATAAAAAAGCTGAGGGCTGGGTGTGGTGGTGGCACAGCCTTTAACCCCAGCACTCGGGAGGCAGAGGAGGTGGATCTCTGTGAGTCTGAGGCCAGCCTGGTCTACAGAGCGAGTTCTAGGACAGTTAGGACTGTCCCACAGAGAAACCCTGTCTCGAAAAACCAAAAAAAAGGAAAGAGAGAGAGAGAGGCTAATTTAAGTTATAAAAGGTAGTTAGAAACAAGTCTCAGCTATTGACCAAGCTTTCATAATTAATAATTCTCGATATGGTTACTTGGGAGCTGGCGGGCAGGACAGAAAAATTCACCTAAATTGCTTGGTCATATAGTAGGGGTTTTTTGGTTGTTGTTGTTACTAAGCTTTATTTATTTTGTGTGCATGTGTGTGTGCACATGCTCATGACTGACAAGTTTGTAGAGTTTCTACTTCCATCTTTACATGGGTTCTGGGATCGAACTCAAGTCATTAGGTCTATGTAGCAAGAGCCTTCACCAGCTGGACCATCCTGCCAGCCGATATGGTGGTCAAAGAAACTTCCATATTAATTTCTATAGTGTCTCTGCCAATTTACTCCTGTCAGCAGTGATAGTCTATTCTGTCTTTTTTTTTTTTGGGAGGGGGGGAAGGTTCAAGACAGAGTTTCTCTCTGTAGCTTTGGAGCCTGTCCTGACACTCACGCTGTAGACTAGGCTGGCCTTGAACTCACAGAAACCCTCCTGTCTCTGCTTCCCAAGTGCTGAGATTAAAGGCATGTACCACCACCGCCCTGCATGATAATCTATTCTATATTAAGCCATCATATATATACTAAAATAGTGTTCTACAAATAAGACTTAATTGCCTTCCTACTAACAAAACTAAGGGGTTTTCAATTCCTTTTGTGGGAATTAAATCCAAGGTCTTTGCACATAGGAGGCAGGTACTCTACCACCGCGCCACATCCTAACTATTCACATTGTTCATAATTGTTTATTACAACAAAAGTAAAGCTAGGCAGTAGTGGCGCAGGCCTTTAATCCCAGAACTCAGGAGGCAGAGGTAGGTGGATCCTCTGTGAGTCTGAGGCCACCCTGGTATATAAGAGCGAATTCCAGGACAGCTAGGGATGTTACACAAAGAAACGCTGTCTCGAAAAAAATGAAAACAAAAATAAGTCATAGTTATCTTTTAATTGTTTTAAAACAAACAAATATGTTTCTGGTGGCTGGGAGGACGGCTCATTAGTAAAGTGCTTGCTATACCAGCATGAGATCCAGGGTTCAGATCCCCAGTACCCACGTAAAAGGCTGAGCCTAGTAATGTGTACCTAAATACCAATGCTAGGGGGTAGAAACAAATGGATTCCTGGAGTTTGACAGTCAGCAGGCCTAAGGAATCCAAAAGCTGCAGGTTTCGGTGAGAGCCCTTGTTTCAAAAGGCAAAGAGCCATCAAGATATCTGGTGACAATCTCTGACCTTCACACGAATGTGAATATATATGAGCATGCGCGCGCGCACATACACACACACACACACACACACACACACACACACACACACACACACGCGTGTCCCTCCACTTCTCTGGGAGCAGTGCGGATGACTGCACACAGGGGAACTGTGCAGCCTGGATCACATGGAGAACACTTGTAAGTCAGCGCTATGAGAGCAAGGATTAAACAAACAACAAACAAAACTTTAAAATATTAAAATAAAAATAGGTTGTTGGTTATATTATGCTAATATAATAAAGAAATAATTCATACATCTTTCTAAAACTAAAACTATGTTACAATGTTAAAAATACAAACCAAACAAAAAAGGTGTGCCAAAACCCCAGTTAACAATTACTATTATTTTCAGAAAAATTCTTGGTTAACTCTCTGTGGTTCTAATTTATAAATATACATTGGATGTATACATATATACATTAAACTTATTGAATATATTGGATGTGCACATATATGCATTAAATTTATTAAATGTATGTTGGATGTATACATATATGCATTAAACTCACCAAATATACTGGATGTATAGTATATACATTAAATTTATTAAATATATTGGATGTATACATATATACATTAAATTTATTAAATATATACCTTTTTTTTGGTTTTTCGAGACAGGGTTTCTCTGTACAGCTTTGGAGCCTGTTCTGGAACTAGCTCTTGTAGACCAGGCTGGCCTTGAACTCACAGAGATCTGCCTGCCTCTGCCTCCCGAGTGCTGGGATTAAAGGTGTGTGCCACCACCTCCTGTCTTAAATATATACTTTTAAAAGATTTATTTTTATTATTTTTAGTTACATGGGTGTATATGTGCACCTGTGTGTAGATGTCATGTGGGTGCAGGTGGCCAGAGAGACCAGTGGCATTGGATCTTCTGGAGCTAGAGTTACAGGCAGTTGTGAGCTGCCTGAGATGGCTGTTGGGGCCTGAATTTGGATCCTCTGGAAGAGCACACTCTTAGCTGCTGAACTTTCTCTAAAGACCCCAGAAAATTTACATTTAAGTGCAATTACATTGTAGTAAGCTACATAACCATTAGTTCATTTAATCAAATATTGGAATTATAAACTAGTTTTATGTGTGTCTATGTGTATGTATGCCACATGTACAAGGGTGTCTGAGGAAGCCAGAAGGTGTTGGATCCCCCTGGAATTGAAATGGGGGCTGAGGACTTACTTACTATTGGAATAAAACTATTTAGATTAAAAACCTGAGTCATTTTTAACTAAAAAAATTCCGATTTATTTCATTCTGTTAATGACGTTTTTATTCTGAATACTCCATATTCAGATGGCAATGAAATTAAGGTTTAAAAGAAAAAAGATTATTACATCCAACTGAGTTGAATTACATCCAAGTGAGAAAGAAGATACAACTCTATTACTTAAGAAAACTGACAAACCACTGGGTGATGATGGCACATACCTCTAATCCCAGCACTTGAGAAGTAGAGGAAATGGATCTCTGAGTTCTAGGACAGCCTGGTCTACAAAGCTAGTTCTATGACAGCCAAGGCTACACAGAGAAACCTTGCCTAGAAAAAACAAAACAAACCAACAGTTAAAAAACAAAGCCCTGATAAATTTAGCAGCGGTTCTTACCGGGGAAGAGGTCTGTACATCTCATGAACACCTCCCAGTAGATCAGCCCCAGCGCATACATGTCCACTTGCTTCAGCGCGGACTCACAGTCCCTCAGGTTCACGGCTCCTTCCAGCACTTCTGGCGCCATATAGCGAATTGTGCCAACCTGATAAGTTAAGAGTGTTATTTTAAAGAAATAAAATGCAACATATGCTGAAGATCAAACATTAGCCCAAAAATCACATGTAAAATTTACTGGTGTTGGGGCTGGAGAGATGGCTCAGTGGTTAAGAACACTGGTTGCTCTTCCAGAGGACATGGGTTCAATTCCCGGCACCCATATAGCAGCCTACAACTGTAACTCCAGTTCCAGGGAATCTGACACCTTCATACCATATGCACATAAAATAAAGTTAATTTTTTAAAGATTTATTTATTTATTATGTATACAGCATTCCTTCCATGTTTGAAGAGGACACCAGATCTCATTATAGATGGCTGTGAGCCACCATGTGGTTGCTGGTAATTGAACTCAGGACCTCTGGAAGAGCAGTCAGTGCTCTTAACCTCTGAGCCATCTCTTCAGCTCCAATAAAGTTAATTTTTTTAAAAAATTTACTCCTGTTAATGAAACTATCCAACCTGAAGCAGCAGGCCACTGAGCCCTTTATACACTGTACGTTAAAATCTCTCCCTTCTCAACATAAAGTAAGTGTTCCTATGAGAGAACAAAGTAAGCGTTCCTTTGCCAAGTTTTAAAAATCTGGCTGGACTATGGTGGTGCACACCTTTAATCCCAACACTTGGGAGGCAGAGGCAGGTGGAGCTCTGTGAGTTCAAGGCCAGCCTGGTCTACAGAGCTTCTTGTGTCTAGTTCATTGCCCATCTTTGCAGTATAATCAATAATGCAAAACAAAAACTGTCAAACGTGATGAGAAAATTCCAAAGCACTATGTACAGAAATTTTTTTTTAAATATTTTATTTATTTATTATGTATACAATATTCTTTCTGTGTGTATGCCTGAAGGCCAGAAGAGGACACCAGACCTCATTACAGATGGTTGTGAGCCACCATGTGGTTGCTGGGAATTGAACTCAGGACCTTTGGAAGAGTAGGCAATGCTCTTAACCGCTGAGCCATTTCTCCAGCCCCAGAAAATTTTTAAAAAATTGAATAATTTTAAAAATTGCAAATCTTTACCTACCTACATCTATGTATGTGAAACAGAGGAAAGGGTCAGGAAGGATTTGTTGACATTGTAACCACAGAGCAGACTTTCCTATCTCAAACTTGATAACCTTACTCTTGCTTCAAAAATCAATTCCTGGCTGGGTCTGGGTAGCATTTGCCTGAAATCTCAACCCTCAGAGGAGGATGGTAAACTCAAGGCCAAATCTGGCCATATAAAGAGAATCTGACTCAAAAAACAAATTTAAAAAACAAACCAACAGAAAACACAATCTAAAAAATTCCCTTTAATAACAAAAAAGAAAAAAATCAATTCCTAGATATTTCTCCCTAACGTTTGTTCAAATGAGCTAGAATTTTTCAAAATGAACTGATGAGTTTTACATGGGTCGTTACACAATGTATTTGGTAGTTCCTAATTTCTACCCCTAACAGCCTGCAGCTCACAGTTTTACATGGGTCTTTATACAATGTATTTGGTAGTTCCTAATTTCTACCCCTAACAACCTGCAGCTCACAGTTTTACATGGGTCTTTATACAATGTATTTGGTAGTTCCTAATTTCTAACCCTAACAGCCTGCAGCTCACAGTTTTACATGGGTCTGTATACAATGTATTTGGTAGTTCCTAACTTCTACCCCTAACAGCCTGCAGCTCACAGTTTTACATGGGTCTGTATACAATGTATTTGGTAGTTCCTAACTTCTACCCCTAACAGCCTGCAGCTCACAGTGCCCAGGATAACTGTTACAGTGTAATGATTTTGTAGACTCACCTCACTTATAGCTGCATTATCCTCCTCCCCTGGGCGCACCAGTCTGTTTCCAGTCAGCCTCATGGACAAACCAAAGTCACTGATAACACACGTGCCATCATTTTTTACCAGGACATTCCTGCTGTTTAAATCTCGATGGGAAATTGCAGGTTTATAATGATCTGTTTGGATAATTTCAAACACTTATTAATGCTTAAGTAGAATTATTGGAGATTATATTAACATGAGATAACAGGCGCTACATACATGTAAATAAATGTAAGATAGTACTATTTTCCACGCATTATAGCTGTCTGAAAAATGGGGCTGGGGAAAAGAAACCTGATTATCAAGGTACATGCCTGCAATCCAAGCACTTGGGATGTAGAGACAGGAAGATCATGAGTTTGACACTAACATGGTTACACAACCCAAATCAGAACCTCACAATTTCAACTTATTACCACTTTCTAATAGTAACTATTAGTAACTAACTCCTCTTACATACACAGTTAATCAAGTTGAACACTCAACTGAATCTAACAGTAAACACAGATCTAACTATTGACACAAGCGAGTTTTTTCTCTTCATTTCTTTCTGTTTTGTTTCCACGGCTGTGCTTGGTTGGTTAGTAGGTTGTGGTTGGTTGGTTAGTAGGTTGTGGTTGGTTGGTTAGTAGGTTGAGTGGTTTTCTGTAAATCAGGCTGGTCTCCATGGAACCATCACTCATCTTCAGAGAAACTTCTACAGCAAATGGAGACCATTACAGAAGGCCACAGCCGAGCAAAATGTGGAGAACAACTCACCAGGAGGTATAAGCCCCGGCTGATATACGCACAACACACCTACACCTAAGCCTCAGAACATCACGAGAAGGGTGAACAGACCACAATAGCCAGAGGACCAGGACACCTGGTGAGAGACAATCTTCTGTACAGGACAGGCAAGCTGCACCCATAAAACCCCAAGAATATGGTAGCCGAAAGAACACCTGAACAATGACATCAGGTGGTAGGCCAACAAAGATGGGGGAAATGTGACACAGCTTCGTTCTAGGTAAAGAGCTAAAGATAATTAATGACTGCTGAGACAGAGAATCAGTTCTTCCATAGAACGAGCCCCCAATTGGCTATATAATACCAAGTGGTCAGCCCTAAAACACATCTACATATGAGCAGCACTAAACTGATTCAGTGAGATGTATTATTTATTTATTTATTATTGTTTGTTCAAGATAAAGTCTCAATATGAAGCTCTGGCTGTCCTAGAGCTTACTATGTTGGGTGGCCTCAAACTCACAGAGAGTTGCCTGCCTCTGCTTCCAGAGCGCTAGGAATAAAGGCATGAGCCACTGTTTGAGAAAAATCATCTTTGTTTAAGCAAAGAAATTTCAGCCAGTATTTGACTTAAAACCTTGCTGAATCTTGCAAACCTTGAAAGGGGAATCTTGCAAACCTTGAAAGGGGAATCAGGATGATATTTTAAATTCTGTTTTAAGCCAGCTTCTGAAAGGAGTTATCATATTTAAAGTAAGGACCCAGGTCCAGAGGCTGACGGCTAAAACACCGAAGCAAGCACACCGGCTGCTGACACAGGCAATAACAGGTCAATCTTGTGCCCAAGGAAAGATGTCGAATAAATGAGCCAATAAATTATTCAGAAGAAATTATTTATATATGAAGCATCAACTAGAAAAGATGATCCGTGCTATTATATAATGGAACAAAGATCTAAGAAACGGATACATTAAAGTCTCCTCCCTAACGAGGTCAGGGACACGACAGGAACAGTGGAGGTTACAGCATGACAAAATGTGGTCCCGGAGTGGAAACCCGAGAAAGCACAGAGACTCGATTTTCGCAGTCACACTAATTTAGGGGTGCCTGTGATGTGAGTATATTTTGAAACAAAGTGAGAAAGTAAATGTATTTAAAAGAGGTGCTCTGGACAACTAGTTAAAGAACTCATGAAAGCTGAAGAAGGCGTAGGCTATAACAGGGAATGTAATACAGTTCCAAACTACTGGCCAATATTGCCTTCCATTCCTGTTTAACAACAGAACCCAACCTTGCCTGAAGAGCAATTCACCCAACAAAAACAAAAATCAGAACAACTATATTTTTGGTCTCCAGTGGGTAAGAATGAATTAGTTCTAAGAAACAAAACAGGTACACAAGAGGAATTTTTTTTAATATTTACTTATCTATTATGTATACAATATTCTGTCTGCAGGCCAGAAGAGGGCACCAGACCTCATTACAGGGGGTTGTGAGCCACCATGTGGTTGCCAGGAATTGAACTCAGGACCTTTGGAAGAACAGGCAATGCTCTTAACCTCTGAGCCATCTCTCCAGTCCCCACAAGAGGAATTTTTGAAGGTGGAAGGGGACAGCTCCTTCTCTCCCCCACCCTACTAGAATATAGCACAATGGACAAGGAAAAAACTATGAAAATGTGATCCACATGTAAGGGACGGTACAGAAAAATACAGAAGCCTTGTGTCTAATATCATGCTGCCAAACCCATCCTTGAGACCCTCACTTTAGGTTCTGGTTTTGTTTGTTGCTGGGGACTGAACCCAAGAGCCGCACGCACGGTAGTCAAGGGCTCTATGTTCTACCACTGGCCTGTAAGCTCAGTTCTCTAGCTGTTTCTTCTTCCTTCTCCTTTTATGAGACAAGTCTCACACTACGTAGTCAAGGGTGCTTAGATTCACTAGGTGTCTCAGGGTGGCCTTCAACTCACAATCCCCCTGTTTCAACCTCCTGAGTATGAGAATTATAAATTAATATATGCCAACTTAATTGACCTCTTTAGATTTTTTTTTTCTAAAAAGCAGGGTCCCGCCACCACTATGCCTGACCCTTGAGAGATTTTTATATGTATATGAGAAAGATGAAAATTTTCTTTTTTTTTCTTTTTTCTTTTTTGGTTTTTGAGTCAGGGTTTCTCTGTAGTTTTGGAGCCTGTCCTGAAACTTGCTCTTGTAGACCACGCTGGCCTCGAACTCACAGAGATCCACCTGCCTCTGCCTCCCGAGTGCTGGGATTAAAGGCGTGCGCCACCACCGCCTGGCAAAAATTTTCCTTATTAATAAAACCACTGTTATATCTTCCCTCTCGGTTCTAGCTAGCAGGATATTAATTTATAAAAAGATGCTTGAGAATTACAACTTATGGAATAAAAAATTCAAATAATATTTAAACTAATACATTGCAATTTATTTCCATAAACAAAACAAATACAAGGAAAACACAGCCTAGTTAAGAGTATTAACCTAAGGTTCACAAATAGACTTCAAGAGATCTTAAAAACCTCTAGGATTTTCTTTGTCCAGTCTTATGATATCCGGTATCAAATGTAGGGCCTTACACAAGCTAAGGAAGCATTCTATCGCTGAAATATACTCTCCCTAAATAATTTTCTCTAAAATTAGCTGTATGTATATTTTTAGAAGGAAAGTCTTCACATTCTTAATGAAAGCCATGCTTGCTTTTCTTTCTATTACATTCAAGTATATTTACTCATAATGGAGTTTTCAAACAACTGGTTAATATTCATATTTTAACAATATAAATTATGGCTTTTCTTCTAAAATATAATTAAAATTTTATTCCTCTTACCTCCTCGTGGTAATTCTGTGTGAAGATAAGCCAATCCTCTAGTCACAGAATGAGCCAAACGGCAAGAGTTTACCCAATCACTTGTATGGAGACTCAAATATTTGCATAGAGATCCCTATATAAAGGAAACAGTATACCAAAGAAGTTAAATTTATGTGCTTCAACAAGAAGAGGCAAGTTAGACAACCTTATGAAGGATTTCATGAAGCACTAATGATAAAGATAAGGTATATCTGAAAAGAAAAGTGAGAGAGGGTGTGCTGGCTAGTTTTATGTAAACTCTGATACAAGCTGTAGTCCTCTGGAAAGAGGGAACCTTAACTGAGAAGATGCCTCTATATAATCAGGCTGCAGCCTAGCCTGTAGAGCATTTTCTTAATTAGTGATTGATGTAGGAGGGCCCAGCCCATTGTGGGTAGTGTCACTACCGGGCTGGTGGTCTTGAGGTTTTACAAAAAAGTGGAATGACCACAAAACAAAACAAACAAGTCAACTACAGTGGCACATACCTTTAATGCCACCACTTGAGAGGCAGAGGCAGGTGAATCTCTGAATTTAATGCCAGCCTGGTCTACACAGCGAGTTCAAGGACCCTGCCTGGAAACAATTAACAACAGCAACAATAACAAGAGCCTGTGTGAGTCCCTGAGAGGGTGAGCAGGAATGTGGAAGAGGAAGCTGAATAACCCTTTCCTCCCCAACTTCCTGACTAGGACAGCAGAAAAAAGTAACTTAAGTAGCAATTTTTAGGTTTCAAATATTAAATTATGGATGATTACTTCCTTTTAAACATTTCTTTGGGCTACCAGATTAACTTGGGAAAAATTTTAAGCCCAAATTTTATAAACAATATTGTTATGGTTTATAAGTAGAACACATATGTCTCCTGTAAATCTATACCATCGGCCCTCTATACCTGAAGACTTCATATCCTAGGGTTCAATCAGCTACGTAAAAAATATTTAGAGATGGAGATGTGGCTTGATGGAAAAGTATTTGCTCAGTATACCCAGACCCTGGTTTTATCTCCAAAAGAGTCAAGAAAAACAAACAAATAATAACCCAAAGAATCTTTGCATCTGTACATAATATTATTTTTTCTTGTCATTGTTCCCTAAATAAATGGTATTAACAACTACTAACATGGCATTTACACAGTATAATAAAAAAATGATATGAATGAGTAATAAGCACACACTACATGGCATTCTATATAAGGAACTTGAACAGCTGTGATTTTGGGGTGTGAGTGTGTGAGTGTGTGTGTGTGGGTATCCCAGAAGCAACTGCTGAGAATGCTAAAGGATGACTGTATATATCTGTTCACCTCAAAGTATTCACCTACAAATTACAATGAGCTTCTAATTAGGCGAGGAGCTTACACAAGAATGAATGTCAATCAAGGTACTGAAAAGGTCTGGCTAAAGAAACAGAGAGAAAGTTAGAGAAGGGAAGAGGAAAGGGTAAGGAAAGGAAGGCGTGAGGGAGGAATAGAAGGAGTGAAGAAAGGAAGGAAAAGTGAGAGAAGAATAAAGAGAATCGTTAGTGTCTTGTTGTTATAGCCCAGGCTGGCCTGAATTCACAACCCTTCCACTTTAGCCTCCGTTCTGTGCTGGGATCACAGGCATGTGCCATGATACCTGGCAGACTCATGTATCCGATTCAAATTCTGGTCTAAGATCCTTATTTCACAGCAGAACACTAATAACACATCTATAAACAAGTAAAACTCTGTAACACATCCTAAAAATCTAATGGAAAGTACAATACATGACAGTAACGTTTTTATGAAGAACTTACATTGGGATAATACTCCATCACCAGCAAATACTCCATGCGTCCATCTGCAGTGAGTCTCTCATCTCCAACTATAAAGCGAGCAATGTTGTCATGCTCCATCAAAGGCACTCTGTAAATGTTTTTTTCATTTATAAAATTCTGACGGTTTGCAAAAGAAAATACTTTTACAGCAACTGGACGCTCATCCAAGGAACCTTTATATACTGCTCCATATCGACCCCGTCCAATTAGCTGCAAGTAAAGGCAAGGTATTAATTAATTCATATTAAAATTGAACAATTAAATATTTAAAAGAAAAAAACAAACAAACTCTAATTCCCCACTATATACAGCAGCTCTCTTTTGCCCTCAGTTTATCCCAGTACGGAGAAGCAACCAATGTCTGTGTATGGAATGACCGAGGAAGCGCCTACATCACTAACCTTCCAATAGATGAAAGCTAAACACTCTGGGCAGAACTACAAGAAAAACCTAAATACACTGAAGAGTTAAGAGTGTAAAGGGCACCAAAGCATAGAAGAAAGGGATGCATGTGGTGAGCTACCAGCTGCTATGGGCTTCAGCTCGAAGGCAGACTAATCAGCTTCGAGCAGTGCAACTAAAAATGGTACAGGGGGGTCGTTTGAATGGGTAGAACGTCTACAGAGCGAGGGCAAGAAGCCTCAAAAGGATGAAACCAGAACAAGGGAATTCAGTGAACACTGATACTAGCTAAATATAATAACTGAACTAAGATTTGGGCTTCTGCCCAAGTGTTACGTTTGTAATCTGTGTCCACCAGTAAATCGCTTACAAAAACAAGTAACAAAAATCAACACACAAGGCTGGAGAGATACTCAGTGGTTGACAGCATGTACTAACCTTCCAGAGGACCTAAGCTGGGCTCCCAGCACCCACCTCACAGCTGTGAGGAGTGGCTCCCAGCCACCTGTATTTCCAGGTCCAGGAGAACCAGCACCCCTTCTAACATCCATAGTACCGCACTCACACGCACATACCCATATGCATACACACACAGGTAATTATAAATTTTTAAAAACCTGTAGCCATTAGAAATGAGCAAGAATCTGGGAGTTCTACAGTATTCTACACACAGTATCTAGAATAAAAATCTACTCAATACACAAAGAAATAGCAAGAGCAAAATGTCACCGGTCTCTTTATTTTGGACTTCTGGGGGAATTTTCATTAAAACAGGTTGGGGGATCTATTGTCATTTCTTTTATTTTTTCTTTTTATGTTGTTTATTTGTTTGTTTTTGGTTTTAGAGACAGGGTTCTCTATGTAATAATACTGGCTGTCCTGGAACTCACTGTGTAGACCAGGCTGGCCTCAAACTCAGAGATCCATCCGCCTGTGCCTCCCGAGTGCTGGGATTAAAGGCGTGCACCACCATAGACTGGTTCCTTCACTTTATTTTTAAATGGGTCTCGCTATGTTACCCTGGAACTTGCTACACAGACCAGGTTGGCCTGGAATCTGAGGAAATCCTCTGGCTTCTGCTTCCTGACTGCTGGAATTACATGTGTGCACCACCATGCTCCAGAAACTTCTACCCAGCTCCTGAGGCTTCAGGAGAGCAAGGAGCAACCGCAACAGCCGACCGTCTCAGCACAGCCTCACCTCCAGGAGCTTCAGGTTATCCAGGTCCAGAGACGGCTCTGACGCTGCCGCTTCCATCATGTTCATGCTGTGAAGACCCTGCTTCCGGTCTCCTGGAATAGTGAGAAGTTACTGATGAGAGACCTTCTTAACATGAAAACGTTCATGCTGTGAAGACCCTGCTTCCGGTCTCCTGGAAGAGTGAGAAGTTACTGATGGGAGACCTTCTTAACATGAAAATGTTCATGCTGTGAAGACCCTGCTTCCGGTCTCCTGGAAGAGTGAGAAGTTACTGATGGGAGACCTTCTTAACATGAAAACGTCATGCTGTGAAGACCCTGCTTCCGGTCTCCTGGAAGAGTGAGAAGTTACTGATGGGAGACCTTCTTAACATGAAAACGCCACCTTTCTAGTATTGCCGTCAAGAAGAGCTACAGCAGGGGTTAGAATAACTCATTAAAATAGAAATCACTGACAAGTGAAGATGAGCAATAAGCACCGTGAGAGCATATTCTGTGTGATAATTCCACGACAACTCAGTATTAAAGTGTAAAATCCTAATACTGAATTCAAGAAAATTTTCATAGATTATTCAAACGAATGAGTAAGTGCTGATTTCCTAAACAACCCATCACACCTAAAATCTATTAGAATTGGGGTCTAGAGAGATATCTCAGTGGTTACAGCACTGACTGTTCTTCTAGCAGACATGGGTTCGATTCCCAGCACCCACATGGCAGCTCACAACTGTCCGTAATTCCATGATCTGACACTCTCACACAGACATACCTGCAGGCAAAATACCAATGCACATGAAATACAAATAAAATAATTTAAAAATTATTAGAACTGACTAGACACCCAGTGAGAAATTACTGGCTTTTTAATTTTTAAAAAAAATAGCATTATGGTTATACAGTTTTTAGGTTGTTACAGAGATAATACTAAAGTACTTACAGATCTATGGTATCTGTGTTTTGATTAAAAGAGTTCAGTGATATGAAAGGCGTAGTGAGTGGGGATTTAGAGTTAAGTAACTCTGCCTGCAAGTAATAACTGCTGCAGCTGGTAACACACATTTTGGGTAAGTTTAAAACTTCTTGTTGGATGGGAGCTAGAAAGAGGGCTCAGCAGTTAAGAGCACTGGCTGCTCTTCTAAAGGTCTTGATTTCAATTCCCAGCAGCCACATGGTGGCTCACAACCATCTATGATGGAACCTGATGCCCTCTTTTGGCATAAAGTCAATAGAGCGCTCATACATACATAAAGTAAATAAATAAATCTTTAAACAAAACCTTGTCGGAGCTGAAGAGATAGCTCAGCTTTAAGAGAACTTGCTATGCCTTCCAAAGAGCTGAGTTCACGTCTCAGCACCCACATTAGGAGGCTCACAACCACCTTAAACTCTAGCTCTAAGACATGCAATGTCATCTTCTGGCCTCCTCAGGGAACACACACGTCATAACATACAGAGACACACGCAGACACATAAATAAAAATAAATTTTTTAAAACTGGGAGAAATGTTTGTTGAAGTTGAGAATTGAAGCTACTATAGCTCAGAGTTTCTGTTTGTATATATATTTTCCACAGAGATTTTTTTAAAGAAAGAAGCAATAGGGATGGCAAGATGGTTCAGCTGCTAAAGATGCTTGCCAACAAGCTGGGTGGTGGTGGCGCACACCTTTAATCCCAGCACTCAGGAAGCAAAGATAAGCAGATCTCTGTAAAAGAAATTTTTTAAAGAAAATAAATTCTGATTTAAATGGCATTTTCCTAAACAAGATAAAAAGTAGTATTTTTTTTTTTACCTGTCAATATTCTGTATCCAAAACATAAGGCGACTATCAAAACAGCTAACACAGAGACCGAGGCCAAAGCAATGATTATCGTCTCATCGCGATTAAATGAATGAGGTGGACCTAAAAGAAAACAGAAAAGTATCTTATTTAATACTGACAAAATAGCTTTTAGAACAGCTATATGAATTATTAATATATAATCAAATTAGCAATATTTTTGCATAAAAAGAAATTAGAGAAAAAAATTAATCAATTTGATAGTTACAAATGACATGTTTTGATCACAGATTATCTTATGTAAACTTAAATTTTCTGTCAGGATTGGTTCTAATTATGAAAATATCAACTAGGTGCTGGAAAGAAGGATCACTGATTAAGAAAGAGTATACACTGCTCTTTCAGAGGCTCAGCACCCATATCACACAGTTCACAATCATCTGTAACTCCAGCTCTGTATGATTTGACACCTCCTCTGGCTTCTGAGGGCACCTGCAACCACACACACACACATATCCTGGCCCCAACATTCATATTTGATTTAAAATATATAAAATATCAACCGTATCACAGAACAAGACAGTATACTTAAACACACAGAACTAGAATTTTGAACTATATTATTTTTAAAAAGAAAGGGCTCTTGCCAAGTAGCTGTGGTGGTTTGAATGAGAATGGCCCCCTCCCAGCTGGAGGAACTATTTGGGAAGGGTTAGGAGGTGTGACCTTATTGGAGGATGTGAGTCACAGGGGGTGGACTTTGAGGGTCTTTCTATCACAAAAAAAACCTAAGGCAGTAGCTGAGCCTGACCTTGAACTCATGGCAATCCTTCTGCCTCTGCCTCCTAAATGCTGGGACTACAGGTGTGCACCACTAAATCCAGCTTCATATTTTGCTTTAAAATATGGCTTTAAACCTTGAGTTCGGTAGCTTCAACAGGTTGCTTGACTCTTGTGTGCCTCGTTTCCTCCTTTATAAGAAGTACCTGTAGCTCACATGTCAGTTACGAAGCTGGATGGGAGTCTAAGTGCTTAGTTTAATTGCAGCACTTGGGAGGCAGAGGCAGGCGGATCTCTGTGAGTTCAAGGCCAGCCTGAATTCTGCTAGTTCCAGGACAGGCTCCAAAAGCTATAGAGAAACCCTGTCTCAAAACAAAACAAAACAAAACAAAACAAAACGGGTCATCAGTATTGACATCTTTAATATTAATGAAAAGGACCTTTCTTTGTGGGAAGCTAAATCTACACTGAACATGAGGCTCAGTCCCTCTCCTTATCTGACCTTGAGAAAAATTCTTTCTATGTGAACCCGCATTTACCTGTTTGCAGAATGGGAACACAGGTAACTAAATTACAAGGCCATTATGAGCATGGAAACATTTATATGATGGCTCCATTTTATGGGTCACATTATTGACAGCAAATACCCTTAGGGATAGACATGCAATAACTACAATACACCTAGAAAGAGCAGTAGGAGAACAAGGATTCGGCTACAGTAACTCTGTGAAGAATAGGAACAAATGTCTTACACAGACAAAGAGAAACTGAAGGATACATACGTCAGCATGGTTTTAAATAGCTATGAAGAACAACTAGATCCAAGCAGTATATATGCAAGACAGCAGTCTTTACAGAACACAAAATAACTACTTAAAAGTCAGCAGTCTAACGTAGAATGAGATCTCCTAGGAGTGCCAAGGTCACAACCATCCACACTTAATCATTCTTTAATGATTCAAATAATCAAAATTTAACGATTTTATTCAATCAAAATAAAATACACTATTATATTTTGAACTTTTAAACTTATGATTCTTCTTTGCTTGTGTCTTTCTTGTGTGTTTGTTTGTTTTGGTTTGTTTTTTTTTTTTTTGAGAGAGAGGGTCTTACTGTGTCTAATTCACTTTGTAAACCAGTCGGGTTTTGAACTCACAAAGATCCTCATCAGTGAGGCTTAGGTTGAGCCTCACTGGTGCTGGGATTAAAAGCATGTATCATTTTGATTGACAATTTTATCATTCCTTATAGTCAATTAAAATCAAGCATAATATATATTAAAATTTTCTTAGTTGTGTTCAAACTAGAACTTTCTATAACAGATATGAAACCTCAAAGGCAGTATTTCTCCAAAGAATTTATCTCAAATTTTGCACAGCTGCATAACAAAATGTCAAAACCAGTATTTCTATAGAATATGTAGATGCGGTGAAATACTCTTAAATTATAAGACAATTACTAGATACTAACAGACTTTAACATACTGATAACTGTAGTTAACAACTCTTACAGCATATAGTATTTACTATAGATGGAAAGATTGTGTATAGACACCCATATTGGCTAGGGATCTAACTCAGTGGTAGAGTGTTTGCATAGCATGTGCAAGGCCCTGGATTTGCTCTCCAGTACCACAGAAAAAGAAAAAAGCCATCCAACTGACCTCTGTCTTCTTCTAAACTAAAAAGCTTCTGTAAAGCAAAGGACGCAGTCAACAATACAAAACGACAGCCTACAGAATGGGAAAAGATCTTCACTAACCCCACATCAGACAGAGGTCTGATCTCCAAAATATACAAAGAACTCAAGAAATTGGTCACCAAAAGAACACATAATCCAATTAAAAAAAATGGAGTACAGACCTAAACAGAGAACTCTTAACAGAGGAATCTAAAATGGCTGAAAGACGCTTAAGGAAATGTTCAACATCCTTAGTCATCAGAGAAATGCAAATCAAAACAACTCTGAGATTCCATCTTACACCTGTAAGAATGGCCAAGCTCAAAAACACTGATGACAACTTATGCTGGAGAGGTTGTGGGGAAAAGGGAACACTTCTGCATTGCTGGTGGGAGTGCAAGCTGGTACAGCCCCTTTGGATGGCAGTGTGGCGATTTCTCAGAAAATTAGGAAACAACCTTCCTCAAGACCCAGTAATACCACTTTTGGGTATATGTCCAAAGGATGCTCAATCGCATCACAAGAACATGTGCTCAACTATGTTCACAGCAGCTTTGTTTGTCATAGCCAGAACCTGAAAACAACCTAAATGTCCCTTGACCGAAGAATGGATAAGAAAGATGTGGTATATTTATTCAATGGAGTACTACACAGCAGAAAAAAAAAATAACGACATCTTGAATTTTGCAGGAAAATTGATGGAGCTAGAAAACAGTATTTTGAGTGAGGTAACCTGTAACATGAGGGGGGCCAGCTTGTTTATTGGGGGTTTCTGTCCCACCCAGTACCCCATAGCCAGCAAGCCCAAAGAAAACCACACAAAGATCTCTATTAGTTATAAAGCTGATTGGCCTGTTAGGTCAGGCTTCTTACTGGCTAACTCTCACATCTTGATTAACCCATTTTTCTGCTCTATGTTAGCCATGTGGCTCAGTACCTTATTCAGTGGGACAGCTCACATCCTGCTGCTTCGGTGATCTGGGCAGGAGTGGGAGGAATCAGCTTCCTCCTTCCCAGAATTCTCCTGCTCTCCTTGCATCATTTCCACTTCCTGTCTGGTTTCCCCACCTACACCTCCTGCCCAGCCAATCAGCGTTTATTTAAAACATGATTGACAGAATGCAGACAATTCTCCCGTACCAGTAACCCAGACACAAAAAGACAACTATCACATGTACTCACTCATAGGTGTTTTTTAAACATAATGCAAAGAAAGCCAGAAAACTACAATCCCAGAGAACTTAGACAACAATGAGGACACTAAGAGAGACATACATAAATCTAATCTACATGGGAAGTAGAAAAAGACAAGATCTCCTGAGTAAATTGGGACCATGGGGACCATGGGGGAGGATTGAAGGGAAGGGGGGGGGAGACAGGGAGGGGAGCAGAGAAAAATGTAGAGCTCAATTTAAAAAAAAAAGAAAGAAAGAAAACCAAGACTAAAAACTCTCCACTGGATATGATGATGCACACCAGGAGTCCTAGCAGCTGGGAGGGGAAGCAGAACATCAGAGTTCAGGACCATCCACTTCAGTACAGTCAGTCTGAGGTCAGCCTGTGCTTTTTCTCAGAAAACCAAACAAAAATAAACAAAACTTTTTTTTTTTTCACCCGAGACAGGGTTTCTCTGTGTAGTCCTAGCTGTCCTGGAAATTGCTCTGTAGACCAGGCTGGCCTTGAACTCAGAGAGATCCGCCTGCCTCTACCTCCACAGTACTGGGATTAAAAGAGAGCGCCACCACCACCTGGCTGCATTTACTAGTTTAAGATATCAGTGAACAAGGGCTGGAAACACAGCTCAGTGATTAAAAAAAAAATCACTTCTGCTCTTACAGAGGATCCCCGCTCAGTTCCCAGCACCCACATGGCTCACAACTGTGTGTAACTTCAGTTCTGGGGCATCTGACATCCTCTTCTAGATTCTGAGTGCAGACAAAACACTCCTATACATAATAAATAAATATCATCAAATAATGATCACATTTTATTTTGTTAAAAGGAGGGGGAAGGTGGAAAATTATAGACAGGACAAAAAGAAGAAACACTGAGGTAGCAAGATTAGTAATATTTAAGTAGAGACAAATAAGAAAAAAACAGCAAAGAACAAAAACCATGGTGAATGTTGTCTTAAAATAACTTTCTTCACGTCAGACTTGGCATTCTATTAGGAAATAGGTATCAAAGGAACTATGATTTTTTTGATATTTAAATTAGAATTTTTTTCATTCCCCTTTGTAGTTATTTTAATAGATATGGTGGTGGTGATGATGATGATGGTTGTCTCACTATGTACTCTTGGCTATCCTGGAATTCTCTCTGTACTAGGCTGACCTCAGACTCACAGAGATCCACCTGCCTCTACCTTGGGTGCTGGAAGTGAAGGTGTGCACCACCACATCTGGAAGATTTAATTTGTTAGAGCAGTTTTAGGTTTAGAGAAAAATCACCCAGAAGCTCCACGTTTCTATTTACCTACTCTTCACCTCCCTGTAACTTGCTCCTGCCAGAGCTCCCATGAGTGTGCTGGGGACCAAACTGTGTCCCACTCCCCGATGCTCATATCCCTACAGAGACCAAAGCTCCACGGTAAGACTTTCATGGTGGGAATAGTGCTTCAGAAGAGTTATTATTAGGGGGGCTGGAGAGATGGCTCAGTGGTT